TTGCGAGGAGAGGAGTTTTCCGAGAGCGAGAACTCATAAGCCAAGGAGACAGTGGGAGGCAAATCGAACTTGAAGAGATTCAAGAATCGATAGATGAAGGAACCTCTACCGCTGGCATTCAACCCGAGGAGGAAACTCCGGTTGAACCGATTGACGAATCCTTACCTCTTAGACGTTCCGATAGAGTTAGAGTTCATCCCCAGTTTTATGGTTTTCATATTACTACCGAAGGGGACACGTATATTAGTGATGGTACACTAGTAAATCTTGATGAACCTAATAGCTATAAGGAAGCCATGGCAGGCCCGGAGTCTGCGAAATGGAAAGAGGCGATGGATAGCGAGATCCAATCCATGTACGATAACCAAGTTTGGAATTTGGTTGATTACGTAACGACCGTAGGGTGCAAGTGGATCTTCAAGAAGAAGACCGACGTGGATGGGAACGTACACACATACAAAGCGCGATTGGTTGCGAAGGGCTTTACTCAAACTCCCGGAGTTGACTATGATGAGACCTTCTCACCAGTTGCGAAGATTAAATCTATTAGAGTGATGCTAGCAATTGCCGCATTTCATGATTATGAGATTTGGCAAATGGATGTCAAGACCGCTTTCCTTAACGGAAAGTTGGCTGAGGATGTTTACATGGCTCAGCCAGAGGGGTTTGTGGATCCGAAGCATCCGAATAGAGTGTGTAAGCTTGAGAAGTCCATTTATGGACTTAAGCAAGCGTCTCGCAGATGGAATCTTTGCTTCGATGAGAAAGTCAAAGAGTTTGGATTTGTACGAAGCGAAGACGAATCTTGTGTATATGTCAAAGCCAGTGGGAGTATAGTAAGCTTCCTCGTTCTATATGTCGATGACATATTACTCATAGGAAACGACATCCCGACTCTGCAGGAGGTTAAGTCCTGGCTCGGGAAGTGCTTCGCTATGAAGGACCTCGGAGAGGCTTCTTACATTTTGGGAATAAGGATAGTAAGAGAAAGAAGTAAGAGACTAATTGGACTTAGTCAGAATACTTACTTGGAGAAGGTACTAAAACGTTTTAGTATGGAAAACTCAAAGAAGGGAGAACTACCGATACAAGGAAATGCCAAGTTGAGTAAGACTCAAAGTCCGAGTACCGAAGCTGAGATAGCAGAAATGAGCCGAGTACCATACGCTTCCGCAGTTGGCTCAATCATGTACGCTATGACTTGTACTCGCCCTGATGTAGCCTTCGCTTTGAGCATGGTTAGCAGATATCAAGGGAACCCTGGCAAAGCACATTGGATTGCGGTGAAGAACATCCTTAAGTACCTTCGGAGGACGAAAGAATGGTTCTTAGTCCTTGGAGGGAGTGATGACTTGAAGGTGCGAGGGTATAGTGACGCCAGCTTTCAACCGACAGGGACAACTATCGTTCGCAGTCGGGCTGGGTCTTTACCCTAAATGGAGGAGCAGTGACATGGAAAAGTTCCAAGCAGGAAACCGTAGCTGATTCAACGTGCGAATCAGAGTACATCGCAGCGAGCGAAGCGTCGAAGGAGGCAATATGGCTGAAGAACTTCATCGGTGATCTTGGAGTTGTGCCGGCCATAAAGGAGCCCATGGAGATTTTCTGTGATAACGAAGGTGCGGTTGCCTTGACCAAGGAACCGAGGGATCATGGTAGATCTCGACATATCGACAGAAAATATCACTTCATTAGACATCGTGTAGAAGAAGGACAACTCGTAGTGAAGAGGATATCATCAGAAGATAACCCAGCAGATCCGCTTACGAAGGGACTGAGTAGGGTTAAGCACTTACAGCATGCTAGGAGTATTGGGCTGAAGGATGATATTAGCATAGATTAGATAGTATTAGAAACGTATAATAGATAAATGTAATTAACATTTGATGATTAAATAAAGAAGTTTTATTTATGAGTAAAGTTACTATCACATGTTAGTTGTTTAACTATTGTTTCACTTTGCATGTTTTGACTTCCAGAATAATTGAGTTTATTAGGAATAATCGAATTATTCAAATGGTCCACAATCGTTCATATGTTGGGAGTAGATATGAATGAAGATTGTCGTGAATTGGTGTGTAGAGTGTCTAAATGGTGTTAGACATAGCAAGAGTTGCTGCAACGTTCATGAGTGCTTATGAACTGGTTTTGAGCATTGGAATAAACCCGCGCTTGCTGGAATCACCTTATGGAATACGATATAAAAGGTGATCGCAAGACGATAATATCATATGGTCTTAAAACCTAGATATATGGTTTATTATTTGTTAATTGATTGTGCATTGATAATGCGAAAACGCATCAGTAACTTGATGTTATAAAACGCATTGTTGTGTATAGTTGGTTAATGAATAAGTAAATGCATATAAGTCGAAGTTTATCTGTAAATTTTATCCTAAGAGGTAGAAGAGATATCTTGGCCACTCGATGATTTGATTTGACTTATGTGCCGGGCCCGGTCAGAACTGAATTGATGTGTTCGATTAAGTTCTATGTCAAATAAATCGAAGATCGAGAAATCTAAATGCTAGACTAACCATTCCATAGGATTGTCAGCATGATATCTAACAGAGGACTGTACGATCCCTTATCTAAAGGACAAGATTGATTAGATCAGAGTTGACAGCGTCTTTGAGAGCTACGATTGCAAACCGTATTGTACTTGTATAGTTACTAGACTTATCCAAGTGGGAGACTGTTGGAATAGTGTCTAAGGCTATAACTATATTCGGTGTGCATGGTCCTTTTGGGTTGCCTTCACCATAGCAACTTGAAGGATGATTTGTTAAGAGAGAGTAAATATTATAAGAATAATATTTAGCTATTTGATTAATATAAGTCATAAATTAATTGGTATTAATTTGGTGACTTAAAGAGATTAATTAAATAAGAGGGTATAAACTGTCAATTGTTTGATAGTTAGACTTTAGACTGTAAATCCATTAGGATGACCTTGGACGGATTCTAAGAGCTTTAGGATAGCTCAAAATCGTCCATAGGGTTATCTATGGAATGGATTTGGATAGCCTTAAGAGAAGATTATCCAATTAGGGTTTAGGGTGAAACCCTTAAGGAGTCTAAAGTATAAATAGGCCCTTGGGATGTGGAATTCGTGTACAATCCACACACAACCTTAAGCAAGGATACTCTGGCCGAATTCCTCCCCTCTCCTCTCTCCTAAATCATCTTGCTTGCTATTGGTGTTTGTAAGCCATTAGAGGAGTGACAATTGTGACTCTAGAAGCTCCAAGACAAGAAGATCAACAAGGAACTCAAAGGTATGATTCTAGATCTAGTTTTAATGTTGTTGTTTAACCTAATTAGCATTAGAAGTCTTGGATTCAAAAGCATGTTTATTAGAAAGCCTAGATCCAAGCATTAGGGTTTTGCATGCGCACATAGGAAAGTTCTTATGGCTAAAACCCAACACATATACCATTAAATATGCATCACACTTCATACGTATATACTATAAAAACATAACACAAAAGTATACAAAAGTAAGTGTTCTTTAAGCATGAAACTTATTGTGATTTTTGATTATCTATATATAAAAGGTTACAAAGCAAATTTTTTTTGTTTATATATAAAAGTTGAAAAAAGGTTTACTAAACAAATCAGTCTTTAAGCATGAAACTAATTCACTACAAGAAAACAGACCTTTAATGACGTGCTTTTTACGACACACACTGATTGATGATACGCAAAAGGGCGTGCCCTAACAATAAAGTCAGATCTTTAGAAATTTGAAGAATTTAAGACACGCATTTTTGCATGCCCTAAAATTAGTGTCTCACAAAAAGAACACGGAGAGAGCTTATTATAGAATGCGCGTCATCTGAACATGTCGCTTTATAATATTTTTAATAAAACGCGCATTTCTTCCATTGATGCTAATCTTTGAATTAGCTAGAAAGAAACCCTAGGGTCTTCATCTTCACCTACATCCAACACCACTAACCCTTCTTCGTTCCAACACAACTTGGGCTTTAATCTGCAAGAAAACCTCCAACTACATCCTCTACATGAAAAAAAAAAAAAAAAAAAAAAAAAAAAAAAAAAAAAAAACCTAATTGGCAGCCACATGTTGATGTCAGGTATCCTTGAGATGAAAGCCTCATTTTGATGTAGAGATCCCCTTGGGCTCTTATGTTAGGGCTGATTTCTCATACATTTAGTTCTTACATTCGTCTTAGTGGCTAGAGAGGGAGTTGTTCAAGTTTTTGTGTAGGGCTCTCTGATTTTTGAGTCATCGTCGAGGGAGAAGACGGAAGAGGACCTCAAGACAAACTTTTCTCCAGCCTATGGTATCGATTCCTGTTCTTTTCTTCTCCTTCTTTTTTGTTTTTTACGTCAAGCACCACCTACCGTCATGGCCGGCAGCCTAGGCTACCGACGTGTGGTAAAAGACCACCACCCACAACCATTAGGTGGTTGTGGTTGTATGTGTGGATATTGTTCATAGTTACCTAATTCGCTCAGATTGCCACGAACCCATACCAATTCATTTCGTACCCAATCGTGGTACAAAAGCGTTCCAAACGATTCCCGGATCGCAAATCGGTACGGTGTCGAGATAGTTCGAATCAGTACCTTGAACGAGTTTGATGCAGTAATCCAATAGTTCTAAAACGCGATTCTGGGTTTAATTTCTGAAATTAGTATGCCGATTTTTGATTTTGGAATGACGGGAAACTGCCGACTCTTCCACAGCGAATCTTAGAGACTCTTAATTCTTCTGATTCATTTAACATTTAAAGTTGATGGGCTTATAGAATGCAGATCTTGAAATTTTCAACATGTACGTACACTTGAAGGCTGGTTTTGTCTTTGATGAATCTGTAACCAGATCAAGATTCTTCTAAAATCGATAGATGAAAAACAGTGTTGAGGTAACTAATCAGATCTATGTTAAACTTTCATGTCAACATTATCAAATAATCATATACATGATCTGCATTTCAAAATGTATTGTACTGGTGGGTTGGGATAAACCAACCATGATTGAAGCAGAGATGCTATTGTTCAAAGCAACCCTTGAAGATACTAATTATCAGATATTCATACTCCTCTTACAGGTTTCTTTTATCTTTTTTTTTAATGTTAAAGTCCGATTATTTTTATATTTGATGAAGAACACTTATGGTATCTTAAGTCCCTTTTCTTTGCAGTTGTGTCCCACTATATAATTTTGGTTATATTTATAAATATATAATATCATCTGCAAGAAGCTTTGTGGATAGGTATTTACTTGGGCATCTTTTGATTTCATTGACTTTTTGACCAACTAAAGTTGAGTATTCTTTTATTTTTATTCAGCTTTATTGATGATGCCACAGAAAAACGTTATAATCCAGAAATGTCCCCCAACATACCAAAGACAAATGGCGGAAAGGATCCCAGGTCACTTTTGTAATTTTAACATTTCTTAGGTTTATTCGTCTGAATCATCATATTATTTGTTTCAGCTGTAGTTAACTTTTAATAATTATATGATTTCATCAGATTACATTGGTTAGAAGTCTGGCCAAGGTTGTTGCATATGATCATGTTGTTGTCCCAATCGGTAACAAACATTGCAAGGTAGAGATTAAGTTACCTTTGAGATTCTCGCCCTTGATCTTTTTTTTTTTTTTTTTTTTGTGTGCAAAATAAGTAAATACACTTCTTATATGTCAATTTAAACTTGGTCTTTTTTTTCTGTAAAAAAACAGAGGCAACCACTTCTAGACTTGAGCAAAGGAAACGAGTCTCTTGTAAGTGAACAACGTTTACTATTTTATTTTTTTATTTTTTTGCTTACACATTATTATTTTACTTTATAACATTTACCGTTTCTTATATTACTTTTTTATTATTATATTGCAGAAAGAGCAACAACAAGACAATTGCATCACAATTGAACATTATGTCCCCACCTTGCTTGCAGTATGCAAAATCTTGAATCTTGATGCTATGTCTTTTAGTGATGAAATGTTAAATGAAAATTTTACCCACGCAAAATAAATTATGATTAGATGAGCAAAACCATAAAAAGAGAGAACATTTTTTTATCCACTACGTAATAAAGAAGCAACACCTTAAGTAACTATTCATGTTTTTCATATCCATCAAGTAAATGACAATTTTACCCTTGCCAAATCTAATAATTGTTCTTTCTCTTTTTTGTAATAAGATGCAGGGGATTGAAGATGAGTTGGTACAGAGAACATTAACCTACTCTTTATGGAACCAATCAACAGAAAGAATGAATACATTAGCTTGGCACCCTTTAACATTTGGTTACACAAGTGCTAGCCAGAAAAATATCCAATCTATCAAGGTAATAAATTTAAATAGGGTTGTTAATTAAATGCAATAAATATCATCCAAATAAAAATTGGGTAGATTTTTCAGAAAGTAACATGAATTCTGGAAGTATTTTGTTGTAATAAAAATAAATGAAAGTAAGTTGCTATTTCTTGTAGTGTAGGATATTGACCGTGTTTATTTGTGAGTTGTGACTATACTTTCACCCCTTCAATTTAGGTTAACTATCTTTATTAGTGATATGTGGTGATCAATCAAAAAGAAAGGCAAACAAGAAAATTAATTTAAAAGAAAAAAAAGAAGCAAGGAAACTGTAACATCCCGGAATCGCAAGAGTAGGGTTGAAGGGCTAAAAGCGTAAGTTTCGGAGGGTGACTCGGCGAGTCCATGGGTAGACTCGGCGAGTCAGGTCGTGGCTATGGTCGCGTGTCAAGTGGCCTACTCGGCGAGTCCAAAGATGGACTCGGCGAGTAGGTGCTGTATGGAGAAAACCCTAATTTTCGGGATTGAGCCCTATATAAAGAGCATTATACCCCTGCACAGCCTCCCTTATCCCCCCCTTGAGTTCTAGAAACCCTAAATTCGTGGAGAGTCCCATTATTGAGCAAACTAGAGCTTGGAGAGGTGTTGTTTGAAGAGATCTTGAAGGAGAAGTGGCTTGGATCAAAGGGCTTTGTGTGGATTCGAGTTTGGCTGCTATTGAGGCATCTTTTGGAGGTAAAACCTTCGTTCTTGGGCTGTATCTTCCTAGTTTCTCATTTTGGGGTTTGTGGGGAGTATATCTTGGAATGTTTTGGAGTTTGGAGGTTAGATCTGAGGTTGCTACCTCAGATCTGGAGTATTGAAGGCCTAGAGTGCATTAAAGTTCCTGTGTTTGAGTGCTTAGTGAAGCCACCATGTCCCAAACCTTGGTTCTAAGGTGAATAAGGCCTAGATCTCTTTAGATTCACGTAAAGTTTGCCACTTTACGTGATGGATGGATTGTAGGAGGTTGGATCTATGTTTTGGATCAATTGCATGGCCTGAGATGCTTCTGTATGGATTCAGACCGGTGGTACTCGTCGAGTCACATGGGGCGACTCGACGAGTTGCTTGAAGATGGCCTGGAACTCGACGAGTTGGAAGAACAACTCGGCGAGTAGGTTGAAGATAGCCTTGGACTCGACGAGTCATTTGGACTCGGCGAGTCTTGTCGAGGAAGTCCCAATATTTCTGGTTGAGTCGAGGAATCGGTGAGTCAAGGGATGACTCGGTGAGTTGGGTGCGAGTGGACTCAGAGTTGTTGGACTCGACGAGTCTTGGGGTGACTCGGCGAGTTGGGTCGCTGATTGAAGGAAGTTCTAAGTGTATGGACTCGGCGAGTCATCGGGTTGACTCGGCGAGTAGGGTCAGTCAGGGGTTGACTTTGACTTGTCCAAGGTTGACCAGTTGTCTTCCAGGGGTATTTTGGTAATTAAGGGTATTTATTGAGTTGTATGTTTTGATGTTCAGTGGAGGAGTTCGTGTCAGAGTTCGGAGCAGCGGGATCTTATCTTTTCAGCCGACAGTTTCGAGGTGAGTTATCCTCACTATATCAACAGGGTCTAAGGCACCAAGGCCGGCCCTTTATTGGATTGAGATTCGGATATGGTTATTATGTTATTTTTGATGTGTCTGCATCCTGGTAGCTAGGATGGTACATGCTAGGAGGCCTTGCTAAGGTCAGTTTCCCGATATACAGAGTGATGCTATGCTAGTGACCGGTTAGGTCGGTAACCCGGTTAGGGTAATGATATGCTATGTGATCTGCTTGCTCGGTTTGTTGACTATGACTGTTATATGAATGTATGTTTTGTGCACATGGTTGTTTGGACTGGAGATGGGTTGAGGCGGGTCCTGCTTTGTGCTGTAGGCCAAGATACCCAGGGCGGACCGGTTGTTCCGAAGGCCCAGCGAGCGGTCCGGATAGGCTGTAGGCCCCACGAGGGCGGACCAGACGTGCCGAGGCTCGGAGAGTGGACCAGGCCGACTGAAGGCCCGATGCGGGCGGACCAGTCACACTGTAGACTCAGAGAGTGGACCAGGTGGGTTGAAGGCCCGATGCGGGCGGACCAACCCCACTGTAGACTCGAAGGACATGACTAGACCTGGAGGATGGATCCGGTGGACTGAAGGCCCGATACGGCGGACCAGTCACACAGTAGACCCGATATGCATGGTTGTTCTATGTTCTGTTATGTTATGTATGTTTTGTATATTTTGGACCGGAAGGTCGCAGCCTGGAAGGGCGTATGCGTGGTTGGTATTTTGGGGGTATCTCACTAAGCTTTCGGGCTTACAGTTGTGGTTTAATGTTTTTCAGGTTCTTCAGGAGACCGTGGCAAGGCGAAGGCGCGATCGTACCGCTCCTCATGATTTGTAGCAATGTGATTCTGGGAATACTCTAATAATTTGTATTGAAAACCTTTTTGTAAACATTTTAATGAAAATCGGGTTGTTTTGAAAAATTTAAATTGGTTGTATTTTTCGGATGTTACAAGTTGGTATCAGAGCCTTGGTTTGAGTGAATTGGAGGAACACTTGTGTGACTCCAGTCTCAAATCGAGGAGGGTTTTCAAAAAGAGAATTTAAAAATGGTTTTCAAAATAAGTAAAGGAGGACGCGGAGGTACGATCAGCCGAAGCCAGTAAGTAACCCAAAACACCATACATGACAATTGTTTTCTTGAGCTTTGATAGAACAGCATGCTAGAGATAGGCTAGGGATCTTCATGATTTCTTGATGAGTTGCCTGATTTATGATGCCTGCTAGCCTAGGGTTCCTTGTGAGAGATTTCTAGTGTTCCTCTAGTTGTGAGGATAGAGCGTTGTTATGTATGTCGCTAGGGTGTTGTGGGAGTACTTCATACAAATATGGGTAGCACTACAAGAAAAAGACCCTTTTAGGACACGCAAAACACGACGCTCTTTGATTTATGTTTCGCATTAGAGAGCGACATTAAAAAAGTGTCATCTCTTCAAAAAATTTAAGGATTTAGGTCGCGCATTACTGAGTGCCCTTAAATTAGTGTCTAATCCAAAAAGAAAAAAAAACACGGAGGGCACCTATAATAAAATGTGCGTCTTCTATGGATGTCGCTTTATAAAATTTAATGGAACGCGCGTTCCATCCCTTAATAACCAGGGGGGAAAATGAAATCCTAAAAAATTAAAAACCCCGCCTTCCTTTTTTTCTCCTTTCCCTCTTGCCCTCCTTTCCCTCCTGCCCTAATTATCGACGCTCAAATGAAAAGGAAAGACTAGACGCAAAGTTGAAATTGAATGGAGAATACAATCTACGATGCAAAGTTGAAAAGGAACGACTCAACAAAATCCGTAATATTGCGATAATGCTTCTAACTCTTAAGGAAAAAGATCCACGAAGAATCTTCAAATGCAAAGCTCTCAGGAGGAGGATGAAACGGTATGGTTTGTTCAATGAACGTTCTTGCCCTCACTGTTGAAAAATTCATTCAACGTTGTCTTCTAATCCTCTTCTTCATTGAACAGACTATTTATCTTATCAAAAAATCAATGGGACCATTATCTAGGGCTTTTTTCAAGGAGTGCTCTATGAAATGTTCTCTACCTCAGCTCTCCTCACTTGCAAGCGACCTTAGCTCACCTCTTTCCACCGGAGACCTTAGGCTCACCTCACCTCACCGGAGACTGGAACGACGGCTCAAGTTTCCAAGCCCTAGGGCTGATTAAGGTATGTTTATCATGATCTCGACACACCTCAACAACACCACTACAACTCATTCTCAGTCGTTGACTTACTCTGCTGACCAATGTTCTCCATATCGACTAAATTACCTTTATACCCTTCTTCAAACCTCTTGCTACAATTGAAGCAATCTAAACCTTGTAGGCCAATCTAACAAGCTCCCGTTTTTATGCAGAGCTGATGATAAAGTTCCATTGGACATGTATTTGTATACCAGGAGTTCCTCTTCTTCAACTATGCAGTAACCTAACAGAGGAGTTAGATTAGTTTCAATATATGTACCTAAGACTGTTTAGAGAATCAAGATCTAAGGAATATAACTCTTCAACCTGCATACACAATCCATTTAATTTGGTTTGTGTTTTTTTATTTATAGACATTTGTAACTGCAAATATTACCTGCATGCCTTTTACTTGCATTTGTTATATAAGTTCGGTAAAAACACCTATAAAAGAAGATGATGGTTTCGATTACAACTAACTAAATTTCAAAGCTTAAATTAATGGAACAGATGCATAATTTTGAGTATGAAACAAGTTCAGTCCATTATTTGAAAAATGTATAGACGCTATCTTATTCTGCAGTTTTATTTTCGAGAGTTTTTAATTTTTTTATTTGCTAAATTTGCAGGATATTATTTCCATATCAGCATCTGATGTCATGTTTCTTTCATTGCCTTTCATAGTAAAATCCCAGGACAGGTATGAAACAGAGAAAATTTGAACTACAATGTAACTTGAGAATGGTCACACAGTTAATGTCAAATACAATGAGTTATCTTGAGCTTGACTTAACTCTTTGGTCAACTGTTTGACTTTTGGTCTTTGGCATACACGGCATCGTTTTGGTTTGACATCTGGTTCACCTGAAGAAAATTCTTGACTTATTGGCTCATTGAAGATCCGTTGACCGCTTATTAAGTCAAGATTCTGCAGACTTGGAAATTGGGTAGTTGACCACAGGTTATAATAAGATGGTCTAAATTGAGTACCTACCATCTGATCATGAAACCAATTACAATTCTAGTGTCAATATTATATTATTCTCAGAAAAAAATAAAATTCAAGTCAAGAAACAAGAAACATTGAATACCTTTGCATGAGCCTCAAAAGCTTTTTTTGCACTTAAAATGACTAGTTATCCTAAAGATCCTGAAGGGGTTCAACTAGTGAAAGCATAGGAGAAAGAGAATATAATCGGAAGGTCCATGAAAAAGTTGAAAGGAAGCACCACAATAATAATAATAATAATAATGATAATAATAATAATAATAATAATAATAATAATAATAATAATAATAATAATAATAATAATAATAATAATTCGTTAACTCCTTTCCTCCTCACTCAAATGACAATATTACCCTCGGTGACTCATCATATTATGTTTTTATGAACAGGATGTGTTGCAGGGTACCCAACTTTTAGCCATAGATGTTGCTGCAGCTACAGGGTTGCTTAGAAGGGTACTTTTAGCCATAGATGTTGCTGCGTAGCTGCTAAAGATGCCTGTAATGGAAACAAGACTATTTTAAAAACTACTTCTGATGATATAAAGTTGATCATATTATATCTTTTATCGATGCCAACACTGGACATCTGTTTTCTTTTCTTGCTGGCTTTCTCAGGATTTGAATACGTGTAAACACACTGAACACAACAACTGAAGCTGTCATTGAGAAGATTCTGGAAATTCAATGCGATAAGAGGCTGCAAGATACTGTAAAGAATGGTGATATAGAATCCCTAAGTGTTTTAAAGAGTCAAATACCTGGGCTAGACTATGTTGTATTTGTGAAGGGTTCAGGCCCACATGATATTCAGTATGATTATCAGCAAGACAAACCTCCTAAGGAGATAATTGTCATCTGTAAGTGTGCAGAGGCAGTTCTTCGAGGTGCTCAGGTAAGCAACAGTTGAAATTGTTATATTAATCATTTTGTCATCATCATCGTCATCCTAATTCAAATGATCACACATTCTATCAATCATGTTTGTTTTTCATTTGGGCTTGTAATCTTATATTATGTTTCTTCTTTTATGAATGGTTAACATTCACTTGGTACCCAATTTCTCATTTTTATTCTTCTTGCAGTTGCGTTCTCTTTTCCTTTTTCTTGTCATCTTTCTCTTATTCTCGTTTGTGGGTTTATTGGTCTTTAGTGACTAAATAGTTAAAGGAGTATGTTATGACCATGAGAAATACTATTAGCTTTATTATTCATGTGCAACATGATTGATTAGGTACACTAGAAAGTGTTCATATTTTGATGTTTGATTGTAATATTTGTGTAGGTATATGTTCCAGGTATATTAGCACGCAATGCTCATGTTGAGAAAGGGGATTTAGTTGAAGTTTCAGTTGGTGTTGAACAGCCTAGTCGTGACAATGGATGGGCTATTGGAATCACACATGGCATTGTCCTACAAGGACTCAAAACAGGTCTCTCTCTCTCTCTCTCTCTCTCTCTTCATTCAACTTACTTACTTTTACTTCTCTATAAATAAATTATAACACTTGCTATATATCTATCGTAGATCCTCAATATCTTGCAAGAGATGGATTATATATTAGTCAAGGAACCACAACCATGTCAAGGGCAAGAATGTTTCATGGATTATTAGGTCTTGCTGTGGATATGACTGATACAGTTTTTAAATTAACATCCTTTAATGGTATACATTTTTTATTTTTCTTTTACGGTTTTACCCTAAGTTCTTTTGAAATTCATTAATAAAAAATTACTACATACAAATGTGATGAAGGGGGACATATTTCTTCAAAACCTGTCAAGCATCATCACTGCACATGTCTTAGGTATGTCTACATATATACATCTTTGTTTTCTTCTTTCTGATTGTCAACGAGGGGTAATTCTGGCAATTCATATATTTATAGATCCACAAGAGGGAGAAAGAATACTAGACATGTGTGCTGCCCCTGGTGGAAAAACAACTGCAATTGCTTCCCTTATGAAAGATAAAGGAGAGGTTATTACAGTTGATAGGTCTGATGACATGGTAAAATCCTGTTACTACATTATATATCTTTTCATATATCCATATTTATTTCTTTTTTAAAAAAATAATTTATCCAGGTGCTTGAAATTCACAATCTAGCTGCAGAACTTATAATATATTAACCAACCTTAAGTGTGATAATATTATTAATATATTAAAAAAATAATTTATCCAGGTACTTGCTACCTTGGTTTAAAAAAGCGTGTTGCGGTCCGTTGCGATTAGGTCCCGGAGACCGATGCGTGTTGCGAGATGCGATTGCGAGCGCATCACGTAGGTGTGGCGCACAAGTAGTAATTACTAAATATATAAGCAAGAAAGAGGAGGTAAAATGAAGAGGTTACTCATCGATAATGATTAATGACAGAGAGAAGAAAAAGTTGTCGTGTTATCATGATGTTGTGGCTGTTAGTATTCTTATACACACGTCTCTAGGGTAGAAGTAGGGCCGACTACTAATTAAACAATTGCATTTGCATGGGCTTTGTTATATTTTAATTATTTTCTAAGTCAAATGGGCCAGACACAGGATGCGACAAAGCGCAATGCGCAGGATGCGCTTCGATGCGCACGCATCACCTCGCATCATGTAGGTCGCTTCGCCCCAAAACTCTGTTGCGCTTAGGCCATCGCAACGCAACGCAACATCGCAACGGTCGCAACATGCACGCTTTTTTAAACCAAGCTTGCTACATTTTGTGATAATATTCTTAAAAATGGTGGAAGTGAGAAATTAAATGATGAAGCCATTGAGGACACGCTTGAGAAGGTATGTTAAAATTTTGTTTGCTCAAAAGACATAAATGCCCTCATCATCATCGAAAGTCTCCTGTGCAGCAAATGGTAAGAAGAAGTGATTGAGTTTTTGAACTAATTTGCAGGTAGTAAAGTTGCTTGCCTACATTAGTGATAAAGATCTATTTGCTGAATTTTACAGGTAAACCTTTTTCTGATTCCCTGTCTAATGAAGTCATATGTTTGTTGATTTGTTTATTTTGTCTTTTTATAATATCTGACATGAAATTGACATTGTACTCTGGTTGTAGGAAAAAACTTGCTAGGTGGCCTTGTTTGTACTTTGTAAAATGTAGGATTGGGCACTTGAGCTGGAAGAAGTTTTCATAGGTTTGATAAGTTTGTTCCATATAAAAATACAATCAAGAACAAGATTCTCCTTTAGCATGGTATTGTAGGTTCAAACCTTTTCTGTTAAGTTATATCATTCATGCAAGATGAGAAGGGCATTACTGTCTTTTGCATGGATGTTAATGAAATCTATTGTTCTTAAATGGTTCTCGTTTGACAAACTATATTGGTATTTTAAGCCAAGGATTGCGAATAGCTCCCCCTAAAGCTCCTGCAACCGGCTACATGCATACCATTTTGATGGTTCAACTCTACATGCTCGAGAATGAAGACAGGAAAACGTTGTAACCCCATATCCGAATATATTCTAATGTTGTTGGCACACAGAGAGTTGTTAGCACATAGTAAGCTAGATTATGCAATTGTATATAATTGAGTTCATTTTTTAATAACATTTACTCACTATTGGAATAATTATTTGTACTTGACATATTAGTGAAATGAATAATCTTTGTTATTTATGGTATTTTATTTTGTATTATGAGATTTTTAATGTATTATTTAATTTGAAAATTAGTAAATCTATAAATAATATTTTTTTTAAACATTTAAAATTATGATACGCAAAAATGTGTGTCATCTTCATTTATGACATGACCTTTCTTGACAGGGGCTTTCTTGATACGCATTGCGTGTCATTAACATGTGTGTCGTAAGGTTACGACACGCGAATGCGTGTCGTCTTCCTTTATGACAGGGCCTTCCTTGATACGCATTGCGTGTCGTATATGCGCGTCGTAAATGCGCGTCGTAAATGAGCGTCGTAAATGCGCGTCATCTAGAGATGACGCGCAAAAGCGCGTCGTCTCTCTTTATGACAGGGCCTTCCTTGACGCGCATTTGCACGTCGTCTGAGCCTTTTACGACGCGCAATGAGCGTCGTAAAAGGCTGTTTTTCTAGTAGTGTAGGTGTGGAAGGTAGTATGGGCCCGTACTACTGAAAGCACGGACTCATACGCGTATAAGGGAAACCATGACCTCTAGGGTTGGGATGAGAGCTGGTTCCCGGGATAGTGGAATATGTCTGAGATTTGGTGTTTTATTTTCAGTATGGCGATTTCAGGGCACGCTGGGAGTGGATCCGGGTCAGGATCAGGAGCAATAGAGGGAGTTCCAAGTGGGTCTGTACAACCCGAGGTTCTCAGCCAGATGAGTACGCACGAGTTGGATGTGAGGATTCATGAGATCCTGCATGATAAGGTTGCTGCATTGTTTCGGGCTGAGCTGCCGGAGTTGTTTGGGTCGATCAAGACCGCCATGGTGGAGTATTTTGATGAGCGTTATGCGGCTCTCACGGAGACGGCTGCCGCGGCGGCTACCGCAGCAGTAGCAGCGGCAGGGGGAGGAGCCAGTAGAGGTTTTCAGTATCGGGACTTCGATAATACGAAGCCTCCCACTTTCGATGGAGTTCAGGATCCGATCGTTTCTATGAGGTGGTTATCAGATGTGGAGGGATGTTTCTTCACGTGTTCATGCCCTGCTGATCAGAGGGTGAGGTGTGCTCTGAACCTGTTGAGGCTCGGAGCAAAGGATTGGTGGAGATTGACCACGGGGTCGTACTCGGATGCGCAGAGGGCTGCGATTTCATGGGATCGGTTCAGAGAGATGTTCAGCACTCGTTATGTTCCGCAGGTCGAGAGGGAGAGGTTGGCTCAGGAGTTCCTGGAGCTGAAACTGGATTCGGAGTCGGTGACGGAAATCACCAGGATGTTTACTGAGAGGGCGATGTTTTGCCCTGAGTTCGCTTCAGAGCAGGCTCAGGTGTCCCGATATCTGAGTATGCTAAAGAGGGACATCAAACAGTTTGTGTCTGCGCAGAGGTGCGAGACTTTGCTGGAGTTGCAGGAGGCCGCCAGGCGGCGTGAGTTAGAGATTGAGTTACAGATGCGTGAGCTGAGGCAAGCTCCGGTTCAGTCGCAGCCGGCGACGAAACGGTCTAAGACCGTTGATTCCAGGATGGGAGATCAGGGTAGCCACGTCTGTGGAAAGTGTGGAAGGGGTCACGCCGGGGTTTGTTGGTCCGGTGGAGCATGCCGCAAGTGCGGAAAGGAGGGACACTATGCGAGGGATTGTCGGCAGTCAGTGCCGGTTCGGGATTTGAGGATATGCTATCATTGTCATCAGGTTGGACATTTGAAGGTCAACTGTCCACGGCTTGCTGCAGGACCGGTGCGGGCTCCAGCGCCGGCTACGTTGAGGATCATAGGTGGAGATCAGGGTGGAGCGGAGCCCCCAAGGGCTTAGGGTCGTGTTTTACAGCTTGCTGCTACGGGTATGTTCTTTCTGCTGTTTTTGATTATTTATGATTGTTGTGGAGTATTGAAATCTGTTGGTTTCGTTGGTTGGTTATGGAATTGCGTTTCGGGTTTTCATGTGGTATCCGTTGTTCCTTGAGGGTTTGGGGAGTTGTGATTGAGATTTCGTTTTGGTATCCTTTGTTCCCTGAATGATCGTTATGGTTATGGATTTGTACTTCGAGCTATCATTGATTATCCTTGTGAGGATTGGTGGCGGATGCGGTGTTGGTTTGAAGGCCGGGTAGATTCTGCAGTCTGAGGAATGGACATTTGAAGATTGGGTTCCTTTCGAGCGGGTTGTTCAGTGTGGAAACATGATTTGTATGAAAGTTGTTGGCGCTGGTGAGAAACATTTTGCGTGTAAGTGTTGATTTTCTGCAAGGTTACTTTGGGAGATCGGTGATGGCGACCGGTGATTTATTGTCAGTATCTTAAGTGGGGGAGAAGTGGAGATTCTCTGGATGATCGTTGGGTCTGAGAGGTTGTTTAGCTGCTTGGGGAAATTCAGCGATATTTCTATCAGTCGGGAGCAGGCTCGTATGGGTGAGTAACAGGCGTGCGGGGCGGAATACAGACCTGGAGCAGTTGATTGTGGAAGGCATGGGAGCGGGCCGGGATCGAGTATGTATGATGGAGATAGAGTTTGGAACCCCTAGAGGGTTAGAACGGTATGCACGGGAGTATTTCCCGAAGGGATAGTTCAGAATGATGAATGTTAGTTGAGCGGTCCGGATAGACTGAAGGCCGGTAGGCGTACCAGTCACGCCGAAGGCTCGGAGGACGGTCCAGTCAGATTGGTTGAAGGTCCTGAGAGTGGTCCAGATTGGCTGAAGGCCTGGGGAGGCGGTCCAGTCATGCTGTAGACTCTGCGAGTATTGTTGGATCGGTTCGAGGTTATGGGTTGCGTATGTTGCAGTGGGATTACATTGGGAGGTCTGGCCCCGGGTAGCAATTTTGAGCAGTGAAGGTAGTGCATGGGCTTGAAAGTCCCTGTGATGAGAATCAGAGTAGTGGGGATGCATGGATATCGGGAACGCTTTAAAGAGGTAGTGTAGCGTGGGATGAGCACCATAGTGCCAGTCATGGTGACTGGGTGGATGAGTGGTTTCCTTGTTAAGGAAAGAGGGAGGAGTGAAATTCTGAAAAGGGAGTGCGAATTCACGGAAGTGAAAGCGGCAGTGTAGAGTTACGATTGGAGTGGTCCGTCGATGGTCTTTGAGTAGTGTGTTGCGGCGATAGAATAAAGCTCATTCGACTTGATATGTTGCTTAGGGCGCGGAGGGAGTACTGCAGGCGTAGAGCCAGGGAGAGGGGTTCGGAAGGGATACGGAGAAAGAGTCTTGGACTCTCAGTGAGATTCTGATCAGGGTTTTGGGTATGTATCAGCGGTTCATCCTGGAAGGATGTTTGGAGGATATCATCAGTGTATCAGGTTATCTAAACCTGAGGGTGCTAGAACGAGATCAGCATGTGTGTGTGACTGCCAGAGGAGAACTCGGGGGAGTTGCTCCGGAATGGAAGAATGGGTCTTTCGGTCGTAATGGGATGGGTAGAGTGGAATTCGGATCGGGGATCCGATGGTTCGTGGCTTTATATCCATATGAGTCAAGTGAAAGATGAGAATTGGAGCAGTAAGGCATCATGGGTAATTCTTGGTTGTTGAGTGTGGTTATCGGAGGGTACAGCTGGTGCCCGGTTTGAGTAGGTGGTGGGGACACCGTATGGAAGGAGAAAGTGAGCTTCTGGTTTCTATGATTGTACCTTGAGGGACATGGTTCGTTCAAGGTCAGGTGGCGTGTCGTGGGAAGTAATTTGAAGATGAGATGTCGTAGGCTTCAAGGACGAAGCCTAATCTAAGTGGGGGAGAATTGTAACATCCAGGAATCGCAAGAGTAGGGTTGAAGGGCTAAAAGCGTAAGTTTCGGAGGGTGACTCGGTGAGTCCATGGGTAGACTCGGCGAGTCGGGTCGCGGCTATGGTCGCGTGTCAAGTGGCCTACTCGGTGATTCCAAAGATGGACTCGGCGAGTAGGTGTTGTATCTTCCCATTTCCACATCAGAATATCTAGCGGTCCTGGGAAGTTTGGTAATGAAATCCATGGTAATATCTTCCCATTTCCACATCAGAATATCTAGCGGCTGCATCTTGCTGTGTGGGCTCTGGTGCTCGGCCTGGACCTTCCTGCAGGTCAAGCACCACTCCATATACCATGCTACATCCCACTTCATGCAGGGCCACCAATAGTCACTGCGAAGATCCCTGTACATCTTTTTGGCTCTGGGATGGATAGAAAACTTGGATTTGTGCGCCTCCTCCATCAATATATGGCGCACACCTCCATGATAGGGGACCCACACCCTACGGTGAAGAGTCAATAACACTCAACTATCATAGTCAATGGAGGAAACCCGACCCACTATACGCTCGCTCTTCCGATGTTCCTCCTTCATTGCCTCTTGTTGGGCCTCTTGGATCTGCTCCAACAGTGGAGTCACTGCCTCGAGGAGTCGTGGAGCTTCAACTGCCTCGAGGCGTCGAAAGAGGAAACCTGACCCACTATACGCTCGCTCGCTCTTCCGACTTGTTGGGTAGTTCGCCTCGTGGGGCTTCAACTTCCTCGAGGTGTAGGCAATGACATGCCCTCTTTGCATCAGTACTGCGCCCAAGCCCGAAATAGACGCGTCACAATATACTACAAAATCCTCCACGCCCTTTGTCAGGGCTAAGATCGGTGCCTCGCACAATCTCTGTCTCAGTGTCTCGAACATTGCCTGCTGCTCATGCCCCCAATAAAAGACTACGACCTTCTTCGGTAGCCGA